CCTCCTCCTCCTCCTCCTCCTCCTCCATTTTTTAATAAATCTGTCCCCAAATATTTGAAACTGGAGCAGAGAAGGGAGCTCAAAAACCATCGGATGACAGTTTTAATTAGGGTCTTAAACAGCTTATTTAAATAGCCGAATATTTGCGCACGCGCGATGATTAAAATGGCCCAATAGGGCCTAATTGGACACGATCACCGACCCTTTTTAAACTCCGCATAGAGATGATATAGAGTTGATGATTCTGTCCAATTAGGCATTATTGGAGCATTTTAATTATCGCTCGCACATATCCGGTTATTTGATTATTTATATAATTCTTTCCATTATTTTCTATCCTTATACGCCGTACCTATTTAATCGTTTTTTTTTCGTTCTCCTAAGTATACCCCACCCATTTAACCCTTATTACAGCCTGGCCCATATTAGAGAAGGATGGGGTTTTCGCGCGCTGTTTGAGACCCCAAATTAGAATTTTACTAATAATCGTGCAGTCGATTTCTTAGTTCACGAAATCTCATGGCCTTCACAAGAAAATGCCTGTTTCGAAAAATTAGCCCACGTCGCGCCCCTTGAAATATGACAGCGATAAAGAAATGACCGTTTTTTGAAAAGAAGCCATCATTTGGTTTGTAAATTAATATTTAATTAATATAAAAATAACTAATTTTTGCTAAAAACCAAAAATTTTTTATACGGGCCTTATTAAAAATCACTTACTTAAGGCGCTTAAAGAAGCGAGGCCTAGGGAATTGATAAATAATGAAAAATAATGTAAAATTCAACAGATCACTGCTTTGTTGGCTAATTTTTTTGCATCTAAATCAATATAAAGTCTGTCAAATATGGAAATAGCCAGGTTGTCAATAAAAAATGGTTCAAGGCGATTATTTAGCATGGACAGATTCTTCTTTGTTTTGTGCCACTTCATCTTGAAAATCGCAAAAAGATTTTCCGTAGGAGACTATTTCGGCAAGTGTACCTATACTTTGATAGATTCTCGTCAGGCCTTATATTTATATGGAAACTGGATGCAAGTTCAGACTTGTTCGTCTTTTCGGGCAAGTAAGTCGTGGGAATGGGGGTGGGGTCTATAAGCGAAGGCTGGTTGTGAAGGTAGGGCAGGGTTTGCCAATACAAGCGAACATGCATGTCCCAAGAAGCAACTGAAAAGAAGAAGAAGGCTCGATCGCTGGAACAATACATTTATTCGCCTAACGTTTCGACATCCGTCGCGGATTCATCATCAGAGACATGAATAAGAAACAGTAGGGTTCTATAGAGCAGTCTAGGGGAAGGAGGGAGGGAGACAAACATAGGGCGGATGACTGCAGGCCACTGAGGGACTGTGGGCCAGGCCAGCTGTGGAGCTTGTAGGGCGTTATTCTGTGCACACAATGCCGGCTTCGTCAACCTGATAGCGGTTGCCGCTGTTGTTGCTAGCAGGCGCTGACCCACAGACTTCTGATAATTTGGTGGGACCCTGTAGATCACTCGGAATCGACCAAGTGTGCCAGAATAGAGCTGTTTACGCTGCTGACTTCACGTTTTCCCAGCCCGGCCAGGAGGTGGTCCTTTATTCTTTTGGGTAGGTGCCGGCTCGTGCGACCAATATAACCTGCTCCACAGGAGCAAGTAAAAGAGTAAATGCAGATTGAAGTGGTCTGAGC